CCTCACATATCCCAATTGGGTGCTGGAGAAGACAGCAACCCAGAAGCGCCAGTGGGAGCAGATCCAAAAGGCCCTGAGCCAAGGCCAGGAAATGGGCAGCCTGGCAAGACAGAAAACTTTAGACAATATCCACCCTAGTCCAGCCAAACACCACAGAGAAAAATGCGGCCACTTCCACTTGTCCTCAGCAAAGGTTGAGTGGGGAGCTGAGACGTCCACGCTTGCCTGGCTACAACGAGGCGCCCCTTAGATCCACCAGGGTAGGATCAGAGACAGCCGAGTGGGGAGCTGGGACTTTATCCTTCCCAGTGGTAAGGAGCCCACCTGTGATGTCAGTGAAGGCCACACAGGAACAGTAACAAGGGACCGCTGCCCCTCTCAGCCAGTGGAATCTGCAGAGGCCAAGTGGGATACCTGGATTTAAATAAGATCCAAAGTCTCCTAACAATACCCAAAATGTCCAGGATACAATCAAAACTCGTCACAACAAGAACTAGAAAAATCTCAATTTGAATGAGAAAAGACAATCAACAGACATCAATACTGAGATAACACAGATGTTGAAATTATCTGACAAGGAATTTAAGGCAGCTGTGGTAGGCAGAATAGGACCCCCCTTAGCTCCCAAACATGTCCACATCCTAATCACCAGACCCTACGAATATGTTACACTGCATGGCGAGGGGATTAAGACTGCGGGTAGAATGCAGGTTGCGAATCAACAGAAAGGGAGATTATCCTGAATTATCCGGGTGGGCCCAATGTCATTAGAAGGGTCCTTGACAGTAGAAGAGGGAGGCAGAAGCACAGACAGGAGAGAGACGTGAAGACAAACAGGCCCAGAGAGATGTTGTTCCTGGCTTTGAAGTCAGAGGAGTGCAGGTGGCCTCTAGAAGCTGGAAAAGGCAAGGAAATGGATTCTGTCCTAGAGCCTCCAGAAGGGAGCACAGTACTGCTGACACCTTGATCTTACCCAGGGAGGCCTGTGTCAGACTTGTGAACTACAGAACCGTAAGATGACAAATAAATTTGTGTTGTTTTAAGCCACTAAGTTTGTGGTAATTTGTTACAGCAATGATAGAAAACTACTCTAGAAGCTTTCATAAAATTCCTTTGATAAGCAATTACAAATGAATACACTTTGAAAAGAGTGCAAAAATGGAAAATCTCAGTAAAAAAAATAGCAGATATAAAGAAAAACCAAATGGAAACTTTAGAATTGAAAAATACAATAACTTGGGCCGGCCTGGTGGCGCACTGCGATAGTGCT